TGGGTTGAGAAAGAGAGAAAGGTGCGATATTTATGGGGTTGATCACAGTTTATTCATCTGTCTGGAGTCGGGGTTACGAGGGTGCCGATGGGCAGAATGCACAACTGCTCATCCAGAACCATCGTGGTGGATGATTCCAATCTGTTTCAAACGACAATCGCGAGAATTCTCAGGAGAAGGTTAGTCATGCCCCGATGGAGAAGTATGGATGTTGGCAGACAAACCGCTATTATAGGTAGAAAATAAGTCGAGATAGAGGAATATACCTTGGAGTACCTTGGCATTGTTCATCAATGGTTCGGACTTCTTCCAGCGTAGCCTGGTGTACTGAGTTCTCTCAGAGGAGTAATCAGTAAACCAAGCTAATAACTGCGTGTGCCACCCGAATATCACCAGTGTAAGAAGGAGGGTGCGAGGGATAGAATCAAATGTAGATGATTAGTCCAAGAAAACACAACGTACAGATTTCGCATCGTCATTCGAAGAATTAGCAATTTTATGTACAAGCGAGGAAACAGCATCCAACGTGCACCCGTTTGGTTGGAATTGAACTCGTGCAAATACGAGGAAAGCTCGGCGATACACCAATGGTACAAAAGGTGATGTTAGAAAAGGGCTGTGCATCGAGGAACTGCTAAGGTAAAGAAAACAACTATGTGGTTGATGATAAGTTTAATATTGAACAAACTCTCAACCAGTGAATCAAGCAATTAGCTTTTTTAACAAATAAATGGTTAACAGAATGCTCTTGCATTACATCTTGGATGATGTTCAAGGGATCCGAAAACACTTTTACCCTCACAAATTTGAATACAGAAGTCAGAAACATGGGTTTGCACCATGTATCCAAGGTCATTTCGTTGAATCCGTACATTTGCATATTGCAGTCAAAGTGATTTTTATATTCAATGGGATAATTACCGTAGGGGGAAGACAAAATCGCTAATCTGATTTCTCTATTCAAAGTCCGAGGAATCCACCAAGGAGGTCTACTGAACCTTTTAAACATTTCAGAAGTAATGCATTTTGTTGTCTATGCTTGGCTTAAGTCACATGCACACTCGATCAATAACACTTGCGACAAAGTAACGAAGAGTAAGCGAATTTGGGAACACTAAGCTTCTCAATATTTACAATTGTTCTTGTTTACCATCTTCATATTTACATAAGTATGTAAATCATTATTATTTGCGCACTCCTTTTTGGTACGTCAATAAGCATCACACCAGGAAAAAGCACTAATGTAAGACAAATTTGGGGCCTGTGATTATAGAATCATTTTTTAAGAAACTTCACTAATGCCTGAGTCTGATCGTCTCTGATCAGGAGCATCGACGAGCCACAATATTAGAGTGACTTTACGTTACACACAAGTTGTATGTGGTTGGATTTAAAACCAGATCAATTCGCCCTGAAGTCAATAGCACTTTGCTCTCGTTTTGTGTTACCCATATGCATCTGGTCTCTCGGACTGAGTTCGATCTAAATTTGAATTCACCGTTGTAATTCAGTTGCGAATCGTCAATTACAGACGCTTAATGCTAGCAGCTTCGGATTGCAATTACATAACAACGGTTCGACAAATAAAATTGGGTCAGCTGTGTGCTGCATTACACTTAAGAGTTTCGGGATCGATAATCCTTTCGTCTTGTTTTACAATATCGATTTTTCCAGCCATTTGGAGAAATGTTCTGACATCTGTTGTGATATTCTTCGATTTTTTTTAACAGTTGAATTGTCACCGCAACTGCTAATGAATATTATCTGTGACAGATGACTGAATTCATGATTGTCTAGAATGATCAGTCTGGTTGTTAGGGGAACGCTCAACCACGACCTGGGAACATGCGGATCATGAATGACCTCAGTGTGAGAAGTATATCACTGGGTGTATGGTTCCTCCCGAAGGTCAACCTGTACGTCCCCAGTATTGCTTAACTTTCAAATAGCTTTGCGTGGGACAAACAAAGCGTTAACATCTGGCACTGTTTGTCCCGATCAACTCAATATATGGTATTCAGCGTTTCAAAGTACAAACAGTCTTGGATTATTACTCGTGTTAGGTTTCAGCAACACCAAGGTACACAAGGTCAACAAACTACCGGTTTGTGGAAGACAATCGTTTTTTCCCGACCCAAAGTTACGGGAGGGTAAGAGAATTTCGCGTACAGAGATATATAGCTTGGGAAATAACTCATTGGTGTTGTTGCTGCATCGTGTCTTTTGAAATTTTCTGCCTTATAGAAAACAAACGAATACAAAATAGACATGAGGTTTGCGATGAAAAACAAAAGATGAACGATCTATGTAAAACGTTCATTTTAATTTTCCCAATTTGTAAAAACAGCTTCTTCCTTCCAGTTTCTTTGGCACTGTTGCATCAATACGAAATTTGTTCATTTGTCAGAGCGCACCTCATTCCGAGATGCGACCAATCTTATTAGATGATTTCAAAATGTTACCACTTTTCTGTTTTGGAAATTCGATGGTTTGGGATATTCAGAGATATGCCAACAAGCTCACATGAAGCTAATAGCTATCTGAATGCACAACCAGCCAGATTTCTTTGAACTTTGTTCGTCTACTACACTGAAGGTATCACTGTTGAGCTGTCAAATAGCCCCCGTAATATCAGGCGAAAATAGACAGAAATATATCGCTGTAAACAAACAAGCCACCTGAAATCGTGTGGACGAGCACCGTCCTACTTATGGGGGAGGGTTGCGTGAATAAACTGAGCACTAGATAGGTTCACCCATTGATTGCGACATTATGCGGTACAAAATATCAACCGAAGCGTGTATTGTTCTTCGCTTTCTCTTAGGTGACTTGACACAATTTGAAAAAGTTGGTTTTTTTCAGAATCCATGGAGATTTCCGGTACTATAGTACGAAGGAACCATCATCAGTACTACTCGGAAGCGTGAATTGCAATATACCAGAACGCAAAACTTCCAGCAAACCAGGCATGTGGAATTAGTGGGTTGACAGATTTCATTGGGCAATACCCAGCTCTTTTGTCGTTCAATCAGGTTCTCTCTTATATCAACTAATAACTTCGTAGATATAAATATATTCAATTTGATTTTACTTTACAAAAGTCTGAACATAGATTCCTGTTGCACAAGACAAACAAGTGAGTAAATAGAGAATTCGAAACAAGTAAGTATGTAGTATTTAGTAACTTAAGTCAGCAAAGATACCATAGTAGTAGCGTTCATATTGTAGGTTCTTGTAATATCGAAATATCAGTAAACATATTTTTGTCCTGTTTTATTAACAGTAACAAAATGTGCAAGGTCAGAGTGAGATTTTCTTAAAACGGGGGTTTATTTCAACAGATTTGGTTTTTTATTACTTGCACGTTTTTATATGCGTTAAATCCATGTGATTGTATCTTTTCCCTCAGATTACGGACAGTCTTGTGATTGGTGGTCTGTGGGAGTCATCTTGTATGAGATGCTCGTCGGTCAGCCCCCGTTTCTCGCCCAGACAGCGACGGATACCCAAATCCGTGTGGTGCAGTGGTACAGGTATCTAAAAGTCCCTGGGGAACCCCGGCTCAAACCAGCAGCCCGGTCACTAATCTGCCAATTTCTCCGTGATCCCAGTGACCGCTTGGCTGACCCGAATCAGATCAAAGCACACCCGTTTTTCAGTTCCGTCAATTGGGATAAGCTGCCAACACAAAAAGCTCCGTACATTCCAACGGTACGATTTGTCAATATGAAGTGTTTCTGTCTGGTAATGCAAGCGTTAATCGTATCTAAACGAGATTCATGGGTAACTTAGTCTGTCATATCTCATGAGAAAGTTAATTTCTTTCCACACGGATGTTTGTTTTGCAAAAGTCGATGTTTCTAGCGCTCGATAAAACAGATATGACTTCAGTATTTTATGTAATACCTTGGCATTTAAATTTTAAATAACGAGTATTATACTCATTTTTCCAAACTAAGGTAATCCAGGATTTCATGCCTGATGTGATCTTTTTGCTGTTTTCCATAACATTCGCCCAATTGGAAACAGATCAAGGACGAGCTAGACACATCCAACTTCGATCCGATCGAGGACGAGCGAGCTATGCGCAGTCAAGATGATTTCGGAACACAAGCGTTAATCAGCACTCCTCTACCTTTCCCAAACTTCACTTTCAAACGGTTCTTTGATCGAGATCCAACAGCGATTCAAAGCCCCTGAGGATAAAACGGTACAGTTCATTTTATATTCTTTCGACTAAACCAGCACACGCGTGCTCGCTCGCGCGCCTATCCACTGTAAATTTGTCCGGTCCATCTCAACCCAACCCGTTTCCATCTGTCACCATTTGTCTTTCCGTTCGCTTGTTCTCCCATGCTTCCCCACTGCCACACATACAAACGCACAAATGCCCACAAATTTTCAATCTCGGTGTTTCGAACTTCCAGTCTACTCATCCGCATCAGTCACACTGTGTAAAACATGTGAATCCTTTCGGTCATCTATTTGAAGGGACTGGAGCTAACTACGTGCATACATGTATGTACGTTGTATTTTTTCTGTGAAGGCGCTATGCCCGTTTCGCTCTGATTCTCTTTGACGGTTTGCTCGTTCGTGTGCACATTATTGCCCCATATAGCTATAGAATTTTCGTTTGTTAGTCAGTACGCAAAATAAAACTTCTATGGCACTACCCATGGAGAATGTGTAACATTTGTCCTTCAGTTTTATTCCTTTCGGAAATGAGTTCATCATCAAAATATAACGTGGTTTAAGAACTTTAAAGGAGTTTGGTACCAGATAAAATGAAGTAATCAATTATGTGCATTGAACTATACCGATACATATGGTTGGGATAGTACGCGGTTTAAGACTATCAGTCACATTCATTCGGAGGTCAGGCTCCTTCGTGTGGTTTCCGATTGAACTGCGGAGACTTACTGCTGTTGTAATTCCAGAAGACGGTGCCCGGTCGAGGATAGTTGTTTACTGAGGATTTCAGATGGTAAATCACCAATTTGGCGTACATATAACAAAAATCTAATCAGAAACACACAATCGCAGTTCCTGGCCACGCGACGGGTAATGAATGTACAAATCGATAGTTCTTCTTTGAGACTCAGCAAATGACCCTCAATGATCTTGTTGATTTTTGGTCGTTGAAAGTAGTGGTCACCAACTATATTACCTACTACTCAACAGTGAGTAGTATCTCACAACATAGGGACTGATACTCGCCAGTCTCGAAGAATTACTTTATCTTTGGATACAGCAAAACCTTTGAGAAACCTGATTTGTCGAGTGGTTTGCATGACCTCTACCCTTTCTCCGAGCATGGTCAGAAGTAGAGATGGTAAAAGAAACAGTCGATGAGAAAATGTGAGAAGACTAGTCGTTTGATGTTAATTGAGCTATAACTTGTTTTCTCAGTCTCTCAATATTTTGGGCCATTCACAATAAATTGCTCCACAGCGATGAGGTCATTTTATGGAAATAACTGTTTGCTCGTCGATATAGAAAATCAATGTAACAGGCTTCACTTGTTAGGAGATCTGTGCCGGTGTATCAGTAGTAGTCTTCCATACTGTACTATTTGCAGTTGCTATAGCATCTGAAGTTGGTTTACCTGTTTACATCCGCAACTCACGCGTAAACAGTGGGGCAACCCTTATCAAAATCAATAACGATTGTGTGGTTTTGCATCAGGAACTGATTGATAGTCGGGACCAAAGTAACCATAAGCAGATCATACCGTTCCTCCTCTGATAACTTGCGAACTCAATAATGCCTGGGAAGGGAGGATCGTGTGACCATAGACAGTCTTGTATTCAACATCCGCTACCTTCCATGCCTTGGATTGTTGATACGTACATCCTATTTGCGTATACTTAACCCCAAATTGCCGTTATGCTTAACTTCTTTCTAATTCACAGTCACTTGCCCATGGTCAAATATCGATCATAATTGGAACTTTATTCGTAAGGTCACCTCTTCTTGACGCATCTTTGTTGACCGCCTGAATGCGATTCAATTTTGCCTTATTCGTTCCGAATGTGGTAGCTTTAAATCCGGTACAAAATTAATGACTCCAGAGAGGATAAACACTTTCAAGTTTCGTTGACCCCAACTGTTATAAGATATCAGCGAGGGGAACCGCAGACGACCCCTAAGTACGGGTTCAATGTCACACGCGATTGCCAGTTTCAGTTGTTCCTTCGATAACTATGGCAGGCTTTGAAAAAACCAGACTTAGCTCTTAATCGTCCAACACAGCGCACATTTCCTGTCAACATAGCCTATCCCCCTCTTTACTCCACGTTCATAAGTCGCTATTAAGGATGTGTCTTATTTTGTGGCATACTGCAATCCTATTAGAGTCCCCCAAGTACACCTCAGCATCTCTGTCGAAAAACGTTACGGACCAAGGAAGCCTTGCGGGTGAGTGTGGTCATAGAACCTGTACAACGAGAAAACAAGAGGGAAATAGTGCAAGTGAGTATTACGAATCAAACACAATCATTCATATCGTCCTGTTTCTAGATCACCCTCTGACTTGAACTGTATCTCGCTATCTGGGGCGCCTTGCTGTCCGCCTACAGTCTAGCAATACTACGTGTTTAGTGTTTGTCGCAGGTTGCTTTTGCTGTAGTCAGTTCCTCGTGATTGGCTTACGCCACCAAGATGTTTACCTTCTTCCTTCCGTTCTGTTGACAGTTTCATCTACACCTTTTAAGCGGGTACGTCGAGCTATCACATCAATAAATAATATGTTGATTTTTTTTCACCTATTTCCACTTCATGTTCCTACCGATATTTCCCGGTTGCTTGAACAGAGTGATGTATTCTCATCTGTTATACTTTACCAATTGAACATGAACAACGGGAGTACATCTCAAGATTTTTACTTAGAATTACTAAATTCAATTTATCGTTGTATGCACTTGGATGGGTGAATATTCGGTAGCTGAAAAGACAGAGCCATGGGATTTCAACCTGGACTTATGGTTTGGTGTCATTTAGATGATTCATCCGACGATCAAACTGTGGTTTCACACACACACGCACCACAAAACTGTTCCTTCAATTTCCGTAGCAATATAACCGGTTGCATTCTGTGTCCATTATATTGTGCGAGGAAAAGTAAATTATTAAAGCTATGACATCTTTATGGTTATTCTGTTTTTCCTGTGCCATAATTTGTGTGAAAGCAGTTAGCCTTCTAAAAACAGATATTTCATTCATTTGCGGTATTGAGCACAGGATCAGGATGGAGTAATATCGCTCGTAAATTAGTTAATCTTATCCTGGACAGATGGCATGAAAAGTGAGAGCCTTATGGCGATATTTTGTGGTATATTATGATGAACATTTGACCCAAGACGCTTTCAATGTCCCACGAAAACAGTATTTTCGCTTGGAAGACCAATCAAAGACTGTAACACCAAACACCACAGAAAAGGGTTTTAACCGTTTGAATTACGTTACCTTGGTAATAATGCACATATGTATCGATGAAAGAATAAGAAGTCCTGAAAGAATTTCAAGCTTGTAAAGTTATAGTATTGGATGCAGACGAGATAAAACAACCCTGAGGTGATACAGAGAAAAATATAGGCAATGAAACGACCTCAATGATGTTTTGAGTAACAGAATTGACTTTGTCTTTGTTTATTGGCAATCATGATCGAGAACCAGGAACATATCCATTACTGTCTCGCCTTCGGTCTGGTGGGACGGGATCGGTTGCCGTCATTCATGTACACCAGCACAACACTCATGTTTTACCACTATTGCCAGACTTGGATTCCATCCAAATCTCGATGTGATGTGCTTTTCCAGTATTTATTTGCAGCTAACCAAATGCCATGTTTTGGGCAGTAAACAAATAGTGCATTTTAATGATAGATGGACTTGTTTCTGACTGCCATTGTCAACCTCTGTGAGATGCTGGTTTGGTTCAGTGCATTACAGTTCTTTTTTTACAGCGCTGCAAAAATTCGACACCAGAACGTGACTGATGCATTCGTGGAGAGGCTTCAAAAACCAGCCACGTGCTTACACCGAAATAATTTCACGTGTTATAATCATTGATTTTAAAACTAGCATTCACCGCTGGTCTTTAGTCCTGAACAGGGTAAACAGATTACAGACAAAACAGTAATTCGTAGGGTTGAAGGTTACCTACACAAGCTTTGCAAGCAGCGACTGACCAATAGAGTACTTCTACCACCATCAAGAAAAAAATTCAGCGAACTTCTGTTTGTACTCACAGTTTACTTCGCATGGTGGCCTTTTTTGCTGTCTTTGGCTACCCCTTTGGATGAAGGAGTGGAGGGATGAATGATAAAGTAGTACAGGGGTAAAGATAAACAGTACAGCTATACCAAATGGGCGACGAAATTGAGTGAATGAGCGAGTGTAACTGTTTCCAACTGTAGAATGTCATGCGACTCACCTGACCGTTCACTTATCAGTAGAAGGTCGTAAGCGTGCTCCGGACTGAACAAACTATGGCATACGAACACAAATTCAGCCAGATCTGTTCAAGGACAGGGAGGGACATTTTCAGAATTAAACCCATTAAAAACATGAAGTGAACACGGGAAAGAGAGCCACTTTGTTGAAAAACACTTTCTGCAGTGAATTTAGACGATAACAAGCTGTGAGGTCTAACACGACTTAGAAAGTTCATGTACAGGAATCGAAACAAAAGGAAAATCGACTCGGACACATTTTTCAATCGAGTGGGGGTGGGGCAGCGCTAGAGCGACGCGTAGTTAGCTGAGTCCAAGGTAGTCAGCGGGACAAATGTGTCCCGTAAATTGGTGAGTATGAAGACGACATTGTGCTACTAAGTGACGATCCAGGTAAGTTGCAAGCTTTTCTGGATAGTTTGAGTGCTAGTGTATCCATGTTCGGCATGCGCTTTGCACCTTCAGAGTGTAAAATGCTACTACAAGATTGGGTTGATCCAGCGCCCAGTCTCACCCTAACTGGGGAAGTAGTAGAGGAAGTAGACAAATTTTGCTATCTAGGCAGCTATATCTCACCCGGCGACGCATCACAGAGAAGTGTCAGCTCGCATACAAAAGGCTCGATTGGCATTTGCCAACTTGGAACATCTGTGGCGCTGTCGCTACATCCGGCTGTCTGTGAAGGGTCGAGTGTATGCTGCAGCAGTTCGACCAGTCCTGCTCTACGGTGCATAGACTTGGCCACTA